TGCTTCACATTCACCGATTATTTTAAATGGGAAAAGAAAAAAGACCACGAAAAAAAGCTTTACATAATTTATATGCAGCTTTTCATGGTAAATATGCTTACAAAGAGGAGAAAACCAGAACAGAGGAAATGCGACCCTAGTTACAGGCTTTAATTAGTTCTGCTTATAGTATCACTTTCATTATTTAGGCATATGACTTTTAAAAGTGCTGAAGATACAGAGAAGAGGTTGACCACACATCCTGTTTCCCCAGATAGTTCTTGTTAATGCATGCGATGTCTGTCTGGTTGGCGCCCCCCATTTCTCTCCAGTGTGTTTGGTTTTGAAGGATGATAAATGTATGATCATCCTAGAGATGAGCCATATGAAAAAAGTGTGAAAATATTACAATACTGTGATCAATAGACAGTTGAACCACCTCTAAATAAACATCAATTTTTCAAAAGACTATCAGAAAAAATTACTTTTCGATATTTTCTGTGTTGATCACTTGAATGTGTTACAAAGACATGTTCCAAAAATTCAGCATTGAATATGGAGTCACGACAATTGCATCATTTAATTGTTGAAAAGTCCTTGACCTCAAGCCATTACCAACCTTCATATATACACTTTCAAAATTTTGGGATATAACTTTTAAAAATTCTCATTAAAAATGAGTCACTTAAAAGATCAATTTTAGAAGATATTCTGAAAGATTTTTTAGATTTTTTAGAATCCTCTAGCAAAGTCAACAGTTGCATTAGAATCTCAGAAAAAAAAAAAAAAGTGGCATTCCATCATCTTAAACAAGGTAACCATTTTTGTCCCTGTGCTATAGGCCACTTTGGACCATTTTTGCCAAGACTGTGAACCCCTACTAATGAATTATTTTTAAAATGTTTAAAATAAAATACTATTACAATGAAAATAAATTATATTAGAATACAACCATTAAAAATCAAAATATATGTTAAAAAACAAACATGATAAATAGTAAATAAGCTCCTTCATATACTCATTACATAATATTATTGACCAGCAAGTCTAGTAACTGCCATAATTACCAAATAGTGATAAGCATAAATGATATTTTGAAGTTGTTTGCAATACCCAAAGTGTGATCTGAAAAGCCACAGGTTCTGCTTGTGCTTCTGTTGCTTATTAACTCCATTCACAACTGGAGAAAATTTTCATGAAGAGGTTAGTGAAAATGAAACTCTGATTTTTTTCCCAACCAACTTCATGAACGTTCTGAATTCTGTTGTTACAGATACAACATTAAGAAGGCCTAGAAGTCAAACTAGTTTATCGTAAGTGCATACTTAATTCATCGAACAACTACTTACCCAGGTAATCAAGCTACAAAAGAACATTTCTAAAAACGAAACTTCCCAATGAATGCTTTTTAACAACAAAAAAAGAAGGCTTCCACTGAAAATTCAGTTCAGATCAGTTGTGAGAACTGTTGATCATAACGCAGTATACATTGAAATGTACTAAATAGAAACAACATAGGCATTTTCTAGGAGTTTTTTTAGAAAATAAAGATCCCCTAAAGCACAGACAAAGCATTTTTATATTAAACAGTGTGTCCCTTATTCCTATCTCTAATATTTTAAAATCAGTTACATTTTTACAAAATTTTTTTCCTCAGATTTGCATTATCTCATTTTAATTTAACAGCATCACAGAGTCATACTTAAGCTTTTATTTCTCAAAACTTTGAATGAAATCCAACATATCAAAAATACATATGCCCAGTTAAGGCCCTCAGCCTCAGCAGCTTTGTTCTCTGGAAGAGACTAAAGTGACTGGTAATTAAACATGTGGAATCACAGATCATTGGAACCTAAAGGAACCCAAGAAGCCACTTTGTCTAACCCTGACTTTACTAATGAGGACCCAGAGACAATGAGAGGTTAAGGGACTCCCAAGATGACATGGAGAAGCTAGCCTGACAGTTTATGCAACACGTCCTCCAGCTCCCAGCAAGGACCAGTTGGATTCCCCGGGCCACTTCTATCAAAAGAGAGCTATTGAAACAAGGGGCTACAATCAATTAGAAACACATCTTATTTATCGTTTTTGCTTCTCAATATAAGAATTAGATAACTTACATGATGATCACATTTCCAGAAGAGAGGTCTTTAAAAAATATGAAAAAATAAAGAATTTGCTATAGTTTCAAGGTCTAATTTATTGGTAATGTAATTTTGACTATTGAAAACCCAGGTAAGTCATTTCTAATTTTATTTTTTCAGATGGTCTTTTTTCTCTGATTATAAAAGGAATCCATCATAATAAATTTTGAAAGCACAAATGAAGAGGAAGATAATAAGAAGCCATATATCCAGAGTCAAAGACATCATTGATAATGTTGGTAATATTTCAGCATATTTCTTTCCAGATATAAATGTATATATGAACATACAGCTATATGATATAAACTTTCATATTAATATTAGACATAAAATTTTACAGCCTATCCTTTCTCTTAGCATTACACCAAGATTATCTATCTTGAATTATCTTTGAATTCAAATTATTTCCAAAACATTAACGGGAACTTTGTGTTTAGTGGTTATTAAAGTAAAAAAGTTTAAAGACACTATAATCAATAAAATGATTCCATTATATAATTTTCACTTACTGGATTATGTAGCCTAGCATTGGATCAGGTAACTCTAATGCATTAAATTGCTCTAAATAAAAAATATTAAAAATATATGTTTATAAAACTGTCTTTAGAAAAATTTAAATGCAAATGGCTAAAATCTTTGGGGGAAAAGGTGTAATATCCTAGGAAATTGGAGAAATGAAAACTCAAAGAGAAAAGTGGGAAGATTCAAAAAGGTACTATGATAGGAAATGCTGACAGGGCTCTGTAAAGTCATGAAGCAACACAGTACTTAATGCAAGGAAGCAGCAATAGGTACAGATATTTAGGGCCTAGCTCATATAGGAATTCAATAAATATTTGTTAAATAAATGAATGGCAATCAATTTACTAACATATATTTAGAGAGTTGAATAAGATTATATCCTTTGACTGACAATCTTATTTAAGGGAATATATACAATATATGACCAGTGCAGTCTCTTGGCAAAACTCTATTAGCCTTTGCCCTGCTTCATTCCGTACTCCAAGGCCAAATTTGCCTGTTACTCCAGGTGTTTCTTGACTTCCTATTTTTGCATTCCAGTCCCCTATAATGAAAAGGACATCTTTTTTAGGTGCTAGTTCTAAAAGGTCTTGTAGGTCTTCATAGCACGGTTCAACTTCAGCTTCTTCAGTGTTACTGGTTGGGGCATAGGCTTGGATTCCCGTGATGTTGAATGGTTTGCCTTGGAAACGAACAGAGATCATTCTGTCATTTTTGAGATTGCATCCAAGTACTGCATTTTGGACTCTTGTTGACCATGATGGCTACTCCATTTCTTCTAAAGGATTCCTGCCCACAGTAGTAGATATAATGGTCATCTGAGCTAAATTCACCCATTCCAGTCTATTTTAGTTTGCTGATTCCTAGAATGTCAACATTCACTCTTGCCATCTCCTGTTCGGCCACTTCCAATTTGCCTTGATTCATGGACCTAACATTCCAGGTTCCTATGCAACATTGCTCTTTACAGCATCGGACCTTGTTTCTATCACCAGTCACATCCACAACTGGGTATTGTCTTTGCTTTGGCTCCATCCCTTCATTTTTTCTGGAGTTATTTCTCCACTGATCTCCAGTAGCATATTGGGCACCTACCAACCAGGGAAGTTCCTCTTTCAGTATCCTATCATTTGCCTTCTCATACTGTTCATGGGGTTCTCCAGGCAAGAATTCTGCAGTGGTTTGCCATTCCCTTCTCCAGTGGACCACATTCTGTCAGATGGTGATTACAGCCATGAAATTAAAAGACACTTACTGCTTGGAAGGAAAGCTATGACCAACCTAGATAGCATATGAAAAAGTAGAGACATTACTTTGCCAACAAAGGTCCATCTAGTCAAGGCTGTGGTTTTTCCAGTGGTCATGTATGGATGTGAGAGTTGGACTATAAAGAAAGCCGAGCACCAAAGAATTGATGCTTTTGAACTGTGGTGTTGGAGAAGACTCTTGAGAATCCCTTGGACTGCAAGGAGATCCAACCAGTCCATCCTAGAGATCAGTCCTGGGTGTTCATTGGAAGGACTGATGCTGAAGCTGAAACTCCAATACTTTGGCCACCTCATGCAAAGAGTTGACTCATTGGAAAAGACCCTGATGCTGGGAGGGATTGGGGGCAGGAGAAGAAGGGGACAACAGAGGATGAGATGGCTGGATGGCATCACTTACTCGATGGACATGAGTTTGAGTGAACTCCAGGAGTTGGTGATGGACAGGGAGGCCTGGTGTGCTGCAGTCCATGGGGTCGCAAAGAGTCAGATACGACGGAGCAACTGAACTGATACAATATATAGACTCCGGTACTCACTGTAGTTTTCTTAAAATAGAAAAACTGTTCACAACTAAATGTTCAGGACTGGTATACTGATTAAGTAAATGATAGAGATGTAAAGAGCCATATAGACAATTCATGTTAATTTAACAACTATACTAAAATTATAAGTGCCCTACCTATACTATAATTCTTAGTTTAAAATGATTGAAATATTTAAAATATTGGTGTATTTAATCTCCTGGTATAAGACTTTATTTCATTAATGAAATAATTAATTTTAAAATTGAAAAATATCACTACATTAAAAAAAAGTTGAGAAGCTCAAATAAATAAACTATTGTTTTTCTTCCAAAATATTTTCTTACAGTCAATCTCAAAGGTGTCCACCTATCAGTCCTTGAGTCATTCCAATGGTGGGAAATACAGTCGTGATACTCTATTCTCCTAGTACCATGACTTAGAAAACTCTGATACATCCTCTTACCTAATCTTAGCCTATCAGAGATGTTATTAAATCTAACACACACACTCACACGTACAGCTTAGAGTGGCAAGCTTTTAAAAACCTACACAACTCATAATACCTGTATAAGCTCTGATGGTTCACTTCCTTCTTCTACTACAATTAGCTGAGATCTTCCTTTCCTCTCATTGTCCCGAATGCCAATGGCAACCTGGCTGGCCTTCAGACGCTCATACTTGTTGCAAGAGGATCCACACCACTGGTAAATTACCTAAAAGAAAGAGACAGACCTTTTGATCCCAAATATGTGACAGACAGTCAGCCCTGGTATAATACACACTGTGATTAATTAGGAAAAAACAAAAAGGCATAAAAATAAAGTTACCATTGTTAAGGTATATATAATTTGATATATTTAATTTATACCTCATTGTATATCCTGTTGCTTTCAGTTAGCATTATAAAGTGAGAATTTTTAAACATGGAAAATATAAATATATATATATCAGCATTCTCTGTGTATATAATCCACAAAGTACAATTTATGAAAGTAAACTTATACAAGCTATATAAATTTAGAATAATAAATCTAACATTCTTCAGAAAGTTAGTCAAGAATCTATTACGGTAGTAATATGATCTTGCTGATCATAAAAAATGATATATCACTTTTGTAAAGCAATTTAACAATCTTTACTGAGTCATAAAAAGTTAAACCTTTGACCCAGTAATATCAGTAACTGGAATTTATTTTAATAAATTATTCATAAAGAAGAGAAAAAAACACGTGTACAGGGGTTTTTCACAGCAGAGATTTTTGTCAGGCATTGAAAAGACATTAAATGCTCAACAATAGGGTAACAGTTATATAAATCAGGATATATAGAAAAAATACTTATATATAAAATTATGCTTTAACAGAAATTAAAAAAAATAGAAACAGAACAGCAGTTTGATAAACAGTAAATCAAATACATCACTTGCTATTTATATTACAGTGTATATATTTTGGACTTAGGTATAGTGTTCAGAAAGTATATAGTAACAAATGTAAAGTAACAATAAATGTCATTTTCTCCATTAAATGTGATTTAACACAAGAAAGAAGTTTAATGGTACCCAGGCTGGTGGGATGTGGGGGTAGGTATTATCACACACTATTAGGGTGACAGATACTAAGACAGGCTCTTTTCAAGGGCAGTTTGGCGTCACATCAAAAAATTACATGTGCTTTTAGAATCAGAACCATTTGTAGGAATCTACCTTACAGAAATATTCAGACACCAGATGCAAAAACAAAGAAACAAAACAAAATGCCCATTCAATAGGGAAATCACCATAAAAATGTCATTATGTGGATACTACAGACTATCCTTCAGTGGTTAGAAATCGAGGATAATGTTTAAACACTGATGTTGAAAATATCCAGGTACATCATACAGACTTAAATAAAACCACACAATAATACAGTTTCATTTAATTAGATACAAAAATATAAGCTGTTTCTGCCTTTGCAGGAAAAAGATTTTTAAAGCCACACAGTATCTCATGGGGAGGGGCATATATTTGTAGAAAGAAAGCCTTCAGTTTTCACTCTGTCAGTGTTTTTTTCCTTTTTTTTTACAATAATGTCACTCATTTATTAAGTGTTTATTAGGAGCTAGATGTTGAGAACAGAGATGAATGAGTGAAAACTAGCAAGGAGAGACAGACATGTAGATAACTAAGGCTAGTAAAATGTTTGCACTATCGTTGGTTTTCAAAACATTTCCATACATATTTGTCTAATCAATCTGAAGAGCAGGTTGCACTGTGATTAAGTGTAAAGGAGACAGACTTTAGCAGTCATTTACTATGTGACTTTATGTTTGCAAACTTTCAAAAGAAGGAATGAATTAATAACAGTAAAATTAAACAGCACCCCCAAAATCAGAGAAACGGTCTCTTTTCTCAGAGTTGTTTCTTCATTCAAAGATAGCTTACTATTGCCTAAAATTGGGCAGGCTCCCTCTCCGTGAGGGTGCAATTTCAAAGCACACAGGCCAATAACAGTTTCTCTAACCCCTTAAGCTGCACCCCCGCTCCCATGTTCCTTATTCATCTGCTCCACTTTCCTTTTCAAGAATAAAATGTAACTCTTAGGAATTCACGCCTTCATAAGAAGTAAAAGAAAAAGGGACTGTACCTTGCAACTCCTATCATTTCAGAATCTGATCTAGTTATTCAACATGGTTAAGGGAGTGGGTTTTTTATCTTCTGGGTTTTTTTTTGTGTGTGTTTGGTTTTTTTTCTGTTTTCTACACCTGGGCTTCTGAATATGAGACTCACATTTAGAGGCGATTTGAATACCAGGTCCACGTTAGCAATTACAAACAGTGAAAATAAATGGTTCCCAATGAGCAGCCAACACCTGATCACTGAGCATTCAAGTCAGATGTTGGAGTAGGATGGTGATTTTTATTTTTTTAAACATGGATAGCTGAGCCTACCCTTTAGGGACTCTCAGGTGTGTTCTAGGCAACTGCGTTTACTGACACTCCCCTGATAATTCTAAGCATTAAACCAGGGCTGGAACATCTACTGGTCTCTAGGAGCACACTGCACCTGGCAGGTGTTGCAGGGAATCTATCATTTCTAATCACCCCCTGAAGCAAAGTAGGCTACCCTGCCAGTACGCTTAGGCTCTTAGCTTAGGTACCTTTTTCACCTTATTCCATGATATTTTGCAACTGATTTTTTTCTCTGTAGATCTGAGAGAACAAACTTTTAATACTACATTACAGTGAAATATAAGAAGTGGATAAGAAGTTAGCTCTCAAGATTTCTCAGACTGCTAGCCACTTTCATTACTGATTTGCTCTGTATTTTTATATTCATCCAATAGATGTTTATATTCTCCCTACTTTAGTTTTATAAATGACCTCTTATACTTCAAAGAGATTATATAAAATCACACTAACTGTAAGGAAATCAAACCAGTCAATCCTAAAGGAAATCAGTCCTGAATATTCATTGGAAGGACTCATGCTGAAACTGAAGCTCCAATACTTTGGCCACCTGATGTGAAGAACTGACTCATTGGAAAAGACCCTGATGCTGGGAAAGATTGAAGGCAGGAGGAGAAGGGGAAGACAGAGGATGAGATGGTTGGATGGCATCACTGACGTGATGGACACGAGTTTGAGGAGTTGGTGACGGACAGGGAAGCCTGGAATGCTGCAGTCCATGGAGTCACAAGGAGTTGGACACGACTGAGCAACTACACTGAATTTTTATTAATGTTTGTAAAGCATTAAGGAAGCCTGGTAAAATATGTTTGAAAATGAATTATAGTTAACGATAATTTTATAAATATTATTATTTAACATATAATTTTATAATATTCCTTGGACCCCAAAATATTTTCTATGATATTACTTTGAGTTTTTTATGTGCAGTATAAATTCACAGATAAATTTAGTTTTAGAAAATATTCCTCACCATTGCTTAGAGAGCAGTTTCAACCTTTAAAATAGCAAAAAATATATCTAGGGAAAACTCATAAAACTTTTAAAAATGAAGTTCCCTTTTAACTCAAAGAAGACTAAATCATCAAAGAAAGCATTACCAAAAAACTTCTTATTGAGCATGAAAACAGATGTTGTATGTTATGCTTACTCTTTTATTATTTTCACCTTATTTTGTGATATTTCTAAGTAACATAGCTTATTTATTAGATTTAATTGTCAGTGGTTAACTCAGACAAGAAATGCAATAAAATGTGGACTTTAAATTGCTAAAAGCCAGAACTGTTTAAAAAGTTAATTAAAAAATAAAATAAAAAAATGTTAAAGTTAATAAAAAACCCTTTTCATTCAACACTATGTTTTTTATACAAACACAGTTTGTTCAGTCATGGACATTAAAACATACTTTAAATTTTGAACAGAATTTGAGCAATTCATTAGATTTGAGCAATTCATATTCTACCACGTGTAGGTGATGTGGTAAGACATCTCATTAACAAAGCGCTACAGTGATGAAATGCATGCGTGCAGTTCTATTAATAAGCTGCACTAGCCCAACACACACCCTATTCAGAGGCAGTTGGTTAAAACTACTTCACCACTCTGCACATGAGGAAACTTTGTACTCAACTGGCCCCATGCTTGAAAAACTCCCCTATAATTCAACTTAACCTTTTTTTAGAGGGCAAGGGCTAAAAAAAAATAAGAAATTCTGCACAGAGCTAAAAAATATAACTAACGTGATTGGTTGATGTGTATTCTTAAAACAGAAAAAGTTCTCATTATAATTTAATTTGTTTTGATTATAATATTGAATGAGAGTTAGATAAACTTTCTGTAAATCTGATTTAAGTGTACTAGACACTGAAAATTGTAAAGCAAATGTAGTTTCAGAGGCAACTATTTTACCTAAGGAATTTAATAACTCAACACTGAATGTTACATTTTTGGGGAGAAAGGACATAAAAACTCCCTATAAATATGGAAATATCCATTCAATTCAGACTGAAGTCAAATTTTGGCTGAAATTTGCTGATGTACGTATTGCTCATGAACACCCTCTAGTAGAAGCTTGTGAAGCCATAATTAGCTCTTAATGTACAAACTATTTAAGGAAAGTAAAATTATTCTGGATAGTTGGCAAAGGAAGAAATAAGGGAGTAAAGACAGTTACTGGTGATTAGTTTGGACCACAAGTAACAAGAAATAAAAGTAAGTGAGTGGTATTCATAGAAACAACCACACTGGGCGCAGACCAGAGGTTTCTAAAATTTCTTCTAAACTACATGGTCAGAGCTAACAAGTCAAACATCGAAATGTAGCCAAACCTCATTTGGGGACAGGAAATAAGAGCAGAAATAAAACAATGGTTAATGATGCTCTTGAAGGGAGGCAAGATTTCAGAAGCTGAGTTTAAAGGAACCCTCCAATGATGGTGACTCATAACATGGGCGAAGAACTCAGCATGGACTTGCTCCTTTTTCCAAGCTATTTATTCTAAATACATCTAAAAGTTTATAAAAGCTGGGGGTGGGAGGAACAGACCTCTTACTCTCCTTGCCTCTATAGGTTTTATGTTTCCAGTGCTTAGTTTTCCCTTTGTTGTTTAGTCACCAAGTCGTGTCTGGCTCCTCTGTGACTCCATGGACTGTAGCCCGCTAGGCTCCTCTGTCCATGGAATTTTCCCAGGCAAGAATACTGGAGTAAGTTGCCATTTCCATCTCCAGGGGATCTTTCCTACCCAAGGATTGAGCCCGTGTCTCCT